ACCGTTGGGTTTTATTGCTACTCCTGAAACGCCACGCTTCACTGATTTGTTTCCAAAACACATCCCTGGACGGCGAGGCTGACCTCCACGTCCCTGAACCCTCAGACCAGACGCACCACAAGCTAGAAATGACTCTGTGATTCTGCGGGAATCGAACAGTCAGAGCTTTAAATGTTCAGTGTTTGTGAGAGATTAGATCGCACAGAGAGCGTCGGGGACTGACATGCAGGAAATGGTCCGGCAGCAAACAGGTCACCTGTTCAGCCAGGTGAGGTTCAGCAGCAGCCCACAGGGTAAATGTTTAACATGACTCCATGTGTGACATACAGCAGCGGATCCAGGATGCCCTCGGGAGCTTTGAATTAGGGTCACACGGTTTATTACCCGTGATCATCCCATGGTCACCGGTGAGCGGTGCAGGTGTCGACAACAACATAGACGCTAGGAGACTCGTACCGCTCGCTCTGATGGAAGGATGGAGGGAAGCTCGGGGTTCAGTACCTAACCCTAGCCATGCTCCGCCTCCTGACAGGGAACTTTTACCTATTTGGCATCATCGACAAATACGTGACCACAAAGGAACCGTGAGGCTGAAGAGACGCTGGACGGGAACATGTTCATGAAGCTCTGTTGGTCTCACACACAGCCCGACTTCTTCTCTGGTTTCTTCTTTGTTCAGTGACTGAATGTGGAGCCAACAACGCATCATCAGGAACCATCTCTGTGGTGATGAAGAGGAGGACCTCTGCCCACAGCAGAGTCACATGATGACTTCATGCACTGCAGGCGTGCTTACACCGACGTTTCTAATAATGAGGTGTTTGAGATTTTCCTCGAGTGGCTGAGGAATGGTCGCGATCCGGCCTTTGAAGCTGTGCTGCACATGCGTGCAGGTCAGTGACATCTCTCAGGTTTCCTCTGGTCGGTGGAACAGGTAAGACTGCTGAATCTGTACGTTTGCTCAGAGGAATCATTACTCAGTGTGTCAGCGTTCCTAACATGAATGAATGAAGCACCTTTACATGTCTGTTTGTTGGTGATCTGCACCTGCTGAAACTTTAACATCCTCACCTCCTCAAAGCTCCTCTGTCCTTAGAGACCCAAAGAATTCATCATAATGAAAATATCAATAACAACAATGACTTCTGTGTGTTTCGTCTCTTTGGCAGGAATGAATTTTCTGAGGGGCTGACATCAGAGGGCTGATGATGATGATGATGATGATGAAAGAGGTGTACTCACCGTCTTGGATCCTTCCTGCTAGAGCATCAGAGCTGAATCCGGCAAACACCACGGTGTGCACCGCGCCGATACGGGCACACGCCAACATGGCTGCCACCGCCAGCGGAGACACGGGCATATAAATGGCCACTCGGTCACCTTTGTTGATCCCGTGACTCTTCAGGGCGTTGGCAAGGCGGCAAGTTGTCTCCAGCAGCTCCCTGCAGGTCAGACAGAGTGAGGATGAGGAAGGTGGCTGATTATTTCCAGCTTTGTGTATTTATTCTCAAAGGGAAGAGCGGCTTTGCATGACTCTTAGTTTGAAATAATCCTTCTTTGTCTGAGTTTGTCATCCGTCTAAAACCAGCTGCTTTAGCTCCTCCCCTTACAGAAAACAGGACTAATCAGACAGCAGGACATGGGAGGAAACGATAAACAGCTGGTGA